ACACGCCAGTCCATTCACCTTTATATGAAACCTATGCATTTACATATATATTTATTTTAAATGTCATTCCACATCCCAACCTTAACTGTAAACGGCATACATGCACCTACTTGGATTGGCCCTTTAAAGCTTATTCATCAAACACTGAATGTAATTGGCCCCTGAACATCTCATCTGGCTGACTGTAAAGTGGCTTTTCCCGGAAAAATATCACATTTGCACAGCTGTACACTGAATGTGTGTGTGTGTGTGTGTGTGTGTGTGTGTGTGTGTGTGTGTGTGTGTGTGTGTGTGTGTGTGTGTGTGTGTGTGTGTGTGTGTGTGTGTGTGTGGTGTGTGTGTGTGTGTGTGTGTGTGTAGTGTGTGTGTGTGTGTGTGTGTGTGTGTGTGTGTGTGTGTAAGTGTGTGGGGGGGGGACTCATAAACTGCATCTCTTCCCACTTCGTCTTCATTTTTACACGGGTTCATTTTTCTCCCCTATTTACCAAAAGCCCCTGTAAACTCATAAACTCCGTGTCTTCGGGGAGGGATCCATCCATCTTCCGGACACCAAATTGAATTGATCTCGGGGCCCCCACCTTGCCTTTTCAATAGGGGCCATCTGCGCGCGCTTGCTGCTTTGAATGCACGTGAAAGAGTGACATATGACGCGCGTTTCTCCGAGGGAGCTCGCGATGCCTTTGTAATCTGATTTCAGAGCAGCTGATTGATTCACACACGCCTCTTTTGTTAACGTGTAGATGCCATATTGACTTTAAAATTATTTAAATTAAAACTTCTCCTTTTTAATTGTTACTTCCAACTCTTGACTGTTTATATTGCTTGGTATCGTCGCTATTTAGGGCCATAGCAAATGAGCAAACGATCAAAACCCAGACTATCGATAAACTATTGTACTGCTTTGAAGTTCGGAGCAAATACATACACTGAAAAAACTGAAACATTGGCTTTAATTAAATGTATTTTGTCACATAACTGTATTAGGTTAGTTGAAAGCATATTAAGTTTGAATACAAAAATATTAGGTTCAACTTAATATTATTGCTTTCAACTAACCTGATACAGTTATATGAAATATGTTGACAGAATACATTTAATTAGAGTCAACGTTTCAGTTTTTTCAGTGCAGTTTCATTTATAATAAATAATATGTATTCGTCTTTCATTTTAATTACTGTTTTATATGTGAGAAAGAACTGTCAGGATTACTTGACAATGAAATAAGTCTACTCTATTTTCCTTTTTTATTATGACCAAAAATAAATAATCTCATAATTAGATGCTACTTCTGAACAAAAAAGGATTTACAGTTACGCATGAACTCTGTCTTTGGCTTTTATTGGTTTAACATTTGAGGTATAAAATACAGCAAATTAAGTTTTAACTCATGTAATAGTGAAAAAGAGCCACATGGTGGTGCACTCATCTCAAACTAGGATGCTTGACAGTTTATATTCATATTCTGAGAGAGTATAAGTATAACAAATATATGAATATGTTATTAATATAGCACCTTTCAGAGAGTTTCAAAGTGCTTTCACATGAAAACAGAACACATTTTATACACACAGAAAGAAAGAAAAAACACAGAGTAAAATGCAATTAAAATATTTTTAAAAATGTCATAATAGCAATTTAAAAAAAGTGAGCTTTAAGAAGTAAGTAGAAGTACATTTATGTATTTGTTAACCTTTCAATACATGTGTGTACGCAGACATATTGAAATTAAACACTCACCCCTCCCCCCTCCTTGACACAGCATCAGTGTTTATTCTTCGCTCCATGGGGTCGTGTCCCAGTCATGACCTCCATTGTGTTCTGGAGGGGATGAGATATATCTCAGGGCGTGTGTGTGAAGTGTGTGTGTGTGTGTATGTGTGTGTTTGTCGGGGGCAATGATGCAGTTCAAAGGAGGACAAAATATTGATTCATATACAGCCGTGTAATTGCTGGAGGCATCTGTTGCCTTGTGGTTTGAACTTCCATGTATTAGGAGTGTGAACGAACTGGTGTGAGACCCCTTTGTCTGCCAACACAATGGCAGAAACAGCAGAGTAATGTCAAATCAATCGCTGGGGATATATGTTTTGAATTGCTTGTTGGGACCTTTATTTAACAAGATACAGGTGCACTATAGGAACTGGAAATGGTGACTATTGTGCACATGCATGAGATGTTATGTGTGTGTGATCGCTTGAAAGAAAATCAAAGTGTGTACATTATACAGCTCGTTTCTTAGAATTCTGATTAATACCAAGCTTCCAGACTGCTGTGGTGCTCAAACCCCTACACTTTATAAGAGAGGATCATCGTTCTCCTTTATTATCTGACAGAGAAATTGGACATTGGTTTGCTTTCCCTTTTAAGAGTGTGCCTGAAGGCCTCAGAGGCTTCTTTGTGTCTCTATCACTGACTGTGTCCAGGCCAGATTGTTATCTCTGCTCTGTTGTGTTCTGCTTTGAGTGAGTGAGTGTTGTATCACTGTTTACCTTGTTCAGCTTCATGAGCTGTGACCAAAACACTCTCTTTGCATGGCTAGATGAGAGAATGATAGTTGTTTTGTCTAAATATTTGAGAAACCTCTGTTAAAAGTAAACCACTAGTACTTCTATAGGCTTTGTGTTCTGAACTGGTGTCTTCATTGTAGAGCAGACAGAAGACGTCGTTTCCATGGCATCAACAGTTTATTGATCGATGTCAAATTGTTGTCGTTGACATGTGTGACTAAGGCAAATCTAATTCTTGTTGAGGCAACACCACTGTCCTGTCAACTTAGTGCCCATCTGCTTCTTTAAAGAGGCATGCTGATTTGTCAAGTAGTTTCTAGTGATTTGGAGATATTGCTCAATCGGCAGTGACATGCATGGAATTGTATTTTTCCATAGACATAGTCATAGGTCAAAAATACTTATCAAATTAGTGTTTTTATTTAGATGAGTATAAATGTGTTGGCTTACCTTGAGCTTTATTTTGCAGAACACTATAAAGCTGTTTTCACTGTTTGAGACGTTTTCTTTTCATACAAAGAAAATGAAATATGATGCAAAGAATCTATAAAACAGATCAACAAATAATAACAATGATATTACATCTGTAAATACAAAAAGGCAGAACCCATACTATAGCATGCAACTATAACTTTTTTGTAGAAAACCACTATGGAAAGACATTATCATTATAATCCAATCCAATCCAATCCACTTTATTTATATAGCACAGTTTAAAAACAGAGGGTTTGCCAAAGTGCTTCACAATGAACATAACATTATAATAAAATATAATATTGCACGAATAGATAAAAGGCACACATAAGAAAAGATAAAAGTACACATAAGAATAAATACAAGGCACATAAAGGCTATGGACAGACAGTAAAAGCAGACAAATAGGTATGACATAGTTCAGACTGACTGGTAAGCCGCAGCTGATCAGCCGACCTCAAAGCCGACCTCAAACCCCTTGAGGGGGTGTACACCTGTAAGAGGTCGGAGATGTACTCTGGGGCCAGCCCATTAAGAGATTTAAAAACAAACAATAACATCTTAAAATGGACTCTAAAATGGACAGGAAGCCAGTGGAGGGAAGACAGAACTGGTGTGATGTGGTCAAACTTGCGGGTTCCTGTAAGCAGCCGCGCCGCAGCGTTTTGTACAAGCTGCAGGCGTGCCAGCGAAGTCTTATTTAGGCCGGCATAAAGTGCATTACAATAATCTAAACGAGTTGAAACAAAGGCATGAATTACACGCTCAAAGTTTAAAAAGGATAAAACCGGTTTGATTTTGGACAGGAGCCTCAAGTGATAAAAACTGGATTTAACCACAGAGTTGATCTGTTTATCTAATTTAAAAGCACTATCGATGTTGACACCCAGATTTGTGACCATGGGTTTTGCATACTGTTGCAGGGAACCCAGGTCAATGGAAGGGACATCACCATTTGGTCCAAACACAATTACCTCCGTTTTGCTCTCATTTATATTTAAAAAGTTTAGCGCCATCCAGGCCTTTATGTCATTAAGACAGTCAACCAGGGGCATCAGAGAGCTAGTGTTTTTTCTTAGGAGTAGATATAATTGGGAGTCGTCCGCGTAAAGGTGGTAGGAGACGCCATGTTTTCTAAAAATTGGTCCAAGGGGGAGAAGGTATAAAGAAAAGAAAATGGGCCCCAAAATAGAACCTTGGGGAACTCCACAGGATAAGGGGGCAGAAGAAGATGCAAAGTCACCAAGCCTAACAGAGAAAGATCTCTGGGACAGATAGGACCTGAACCACTCTAAGGCAGCGCCCCTGATACCCACACAGTGCTCTAGACGAGAGATAAGGATGGAGTGATCAATCGTATCAAAGGCAGCTGTGAGGTCTAAGAGCATAAGGATGGCAGAGTCACCAGCGTCTGTAGTGACCAGGAGGTCATTGAATACCCTTAGAAGGGCAGACTCAGTACTGTGAAGCACTTTAAAACCGGATTGAAATATATCGAAAATATTGTGTGCATGTATAAAAGACTGCAGCTGTAAGAGTACGGTTTTCTCCAATATTTTTGAAATAAAAGGAAGCTTCGAGATGGGTCTGTAATTTGAGAAGACAGAAGTGTCCAGATTAGTTTTCTTTATCAGGGGTGCCACAACCGCTTGTTTGAAATAAACTGGCACAGAACCGGACTATAGGCTGCTATTTATAATTATATGGACATTAGGTCCAATAGTGTCCCATACCTCTTTAAAAAGTCGAGGAGGGACTGGGTCTGTGGGACAAGATGATCCATTATAAGGCAGTATCATTACATTTATTGTAGCCATATGCAGTAAGAACATATGATACATAAATAAGTCAAACTACTCATCATTTGGACTTGTATTGGTGCGCACAGAATCTCTCATGCCCCTCTATACTAAACACTACTGTAATTAACCAGACCCGTTTGTAATATTGGCAGTGGCTTCACGTGTTATAGACGCCTCCTAGCGGCATGTGTCCGCACTGCAGCCCATATGCTGAAGCACTGCCCCCTGTGAAATTCCTGACTGCCAGGGTGATTCCTCCGGTCACTGAGGGCTGCTTCCTACTGCAGCCAGCCTAGCGTGCGCTCTGGGGCAAACTATTTAATAACCTCTGGATAAATGATCAACCACTGGAATGATATCTCCAGCGATAAAGGGTGAGTTATGATCCAATAACGCAGTGTCAGTCATATGTATTCTGCAGATCATAGTGCGGACTCAGTAGTGTGTGAAGCTCTGTCTTACGTGTTATAATGTCATGATTCTTAAAGCCTATTAAATGTAGGTTACCGAGCCTTCTTATTTTTATTTCTACAGAACAAAGGCTGTTGCTCAGTGTTAGTCTGAAAGCGTGTTTTTAAAGAAAGGCTAGGGAACACGCCCTAGCTGTCTTTGCTACCTGTATGAAAGGGAATGCTTTCAACTTCATGTGAATGCCCTCAAACTGCGGTCACAAACTGACTGGGGAACTTAACCGTATTTGTTAATGTTTCGAGTTTGTTAGTCGGTGTGTCGGTGTATGGCTCCTCTTTCAACCAGAAAGTCAGACAGCCACTGCGAGACAGTAAAAAAGTCAACTATGTTGCATACGGGTTGACTGGATCCGCAATACCCCCGTGGTGCACCGCAGCTCAGCTGTAAACTGTAACCTGCGGCGGCGGAGTTGACGCGGAGGGATACATTGTAGCACTGCCATTTATCCAGAAAACACGGAACACCCGTTTAAAACCGCTATAACGTGGTTTGGTGTTTCAAGTAGCCTCACATATAGGTTATTGCGGTTAGGGGGGTGCATGAGGGGGGGCTTCAGAGGCCACGGTGATACCAGGGAGTTTCCTGCCGCTAGGTTCGCCTGCCTGACGGGTCACAGGTAGGGGGCTGGGCAGGGAAACCTGCTCTGGAGCTCCTACAGACAGATAAATTAGAGATGAAGACAGACGTGTATTCGCTCCTCTATGTCTAGGCTTATGAAACTCTTCCTTTTTGTTTGACTGTTAAGATTGGATATCTGCTCTGTTTTATTGACCCACTTCTGATGTAAATTGACAGAAATGTAACTTAAATAAAATAGGCGTTTGTTGTGTTGGGCTCATGATATTTGTTCTTGACTATTATTATGCAATTAACATGTGCTTTATCAACAAAATGTCAAGATAGAAGAAATAAGCCCTTCCAAAGCCAAATATACATTTTAAAATAATACGTTTTGTCTTTCAAACTGTCCAAAACCAAAATATATTGTATTTACCATTTTATAATACAGAGGTAAGAACAAAACATCACATTGAGATTAAATGTTCGGCATCAGTGTCAAAATAGTTACATTTAGTAACTATAGATTTTCAATTTATGCCAGAAAACAAGGAAGGTTTTATCATTACCTCAATAAACATATTTGTAACAGATGACAAAGGTATTTATAACTAAATATCACATTGCAGTAGGAATGCACACTGTATCTGACATCCTTGTAGCTGTCTTAGCTAAAGCTGCATGGGAGCAGTGTGACATTGTGAGAGCCAGACCGACATTAAATGGTGACAACAACTGTTCTTCCTCTCTTTAAATTATGCAACAGCCTCATTATCACGAAGACATGTATGTTCTGGATTAGCCTAATGTTGGAGAGTTTATGGATTCTCATTCACTTTTCCTAACAGAATTGTTGTGCATAACAGCTGCAGAGAATATCGATGGCGATGATGACACCTGTCAAGAGCTCTCAGATGTGAGGGTGTGTTTGAGCGTGGCGTGCTACGCGAGTGTGTTGCTGGCTTACAGAGCTCACAGCATGTGTGTTGATATCAGTTATAAGCATTTAATGTTGCAGGGTGAATAATGTTCTACATGATGAACTTTAGTTGGACAGAGTTATTCCAGTCACATCTCTTCTGTCTGCAGTGCATAGTGCCGCATTAGCTGGTAAGGCAAGATGTCAGTCAACTACAACAGCCTTTGTGTTGCCATGGTGATTCTAGTAAACATTATCTCCATTTCATGGAAAGGTCAACAGTCGGACGTCTTAGCCTCTGGCTTGTTCTCAGTGCTGTATTAGAGGGGAAAAGTTGATAATGTTAATCCCTTGATAGGAAATATGTCAGTTAATTGTTTCTTGCCGTCGTCTGTTAACTCATTGCTATTCCACTCCAGCTATGAAGAGCATGTTCTTGTGACTTGCTCGATAGATTATTAGGTAATTGTGGTGGCAAAAAAGTCATAATTCACAAGGCAAAGTATATCAAATGTATCCACACGCTACAGGAAAATAAGACTCTGTAGAAACCCTAGTTATAACATCCAATTTGTAAAAGTAACGCTATACCTAGTGCAAAAGAAGGCCTACCTAAATACAGCTCTAGTTTTCATCATGATGCATTATTTTTATGCAATTCATTCTATGGTGCCTTTCTTGTCCTATTTTTGTCACGTGACTAACAAACCAATTTTTGACATGGATACACACATTTTTACATCCAGTATGAGTTAAACTTCTTAAAGGGGCCCTATGGCCGGCTCTGTTGTGATTGATCAACCACATTTCTCTTTATTCTGTCTGAGTAGGTCCCATGGTCTTAAACACCACAGGTTTATAACAACCCATGAGTCCGTTTACTCACTGACTCAGGATCAGATCATTGTGGTTGCCTAGTAACACCAGCAGAAAAATGCAACAGGTAAAGGCCAAGTGTGAACGAAGCATAAAGGTGTGAGTCATTGTTAATCACACAGACCTGTTATTGAGAGCAGACAGCAGTTTGTAACCAACACTGCACAGAGTTGACATGCTAATGATGCTATTTATAAGCAGATATAATAACCACGACCTCTTTAAATGATAATGATAAATAATAGCTCGTGGTTCTGCTGCGGTTTCTCCGATCCGAGAGGTTAAATACTATGACTCTCAGGAATGTTGATTGAATTCCTCAGAATGAATGAGTCTCATTTGCTCAGTCATGGACAGCAACTTGTGACCGGTCAGACTTCCAAAGTGTCTCGCTGTAATTTCCCCACGTGGCCTGGCACGGAGTTACCTCCTCTCGACCTGAAGTGATATCATTAGCTTATTTTCTTCAATTATGGCGTGAGGAGAGGTGTTATCACGGTGATGATAGAGGCAGAGGGCGTCATGGTTACGCAGGGTGGGATAAGGCGATGGGGAGAAGTGTCAGTATGGCTAGTTTCTAATTATTTATAATTTCTATGATTAACAGATCTTTTTTAGAAGATTATTTCAAAAGTCAGGTCAAATCACAGAATATTTATTTATTGTTTTCGCTGTGGTTTAGTTGAAATGATTATTCTACTAAAGAAAAACTGTTGTTTCCATAGCGGATCAGTGAAGAAAGCAGTGTAGGAAATCAAAGGTGTGCCATAAAAGGCTGAGGGATTTGAGGATGAATCAGTGCTGAGTGTGAATGAGCTACAGGGGGCTTTTCTCTTTTATTCTGCGGAAAGAACGCATGAACAGCTCGCCTGAAAGGAGGGTACGAATTAAAACATAGGGGATCATCTGATCTGGTTCATTAGATGCTTCATTTGCCACTAGAAGTTCTACTCTATAATCAGTGGTCTGCAGAGGTTCACTGCTTCACTAACTTCACAGACTCCCTTTCAAGGTTTGTCCCTGTGCTATAGGGTCAGTCAATCCAGGAGGTTCCTTCCCTAACTGCTTCAGAAAGGTCAATTTGAAGCTCCACACATTTTCCAAATCAGCCCTATTGTCCAAAAACGAATTGAGATGAATGCTGATTGTGAGCTTACACTACATACTGCCATAGGTTGTCCAAGCGTCAGTATTTCCATCATCCAGCAGTTGATGATGGACTGATGTATCATACGTGCAGCGGATCAGAGCTGATGGGTTTACGGCGGCTGACAGCAGATGTCTTGTGTCTCCGGAGTAACTCTGCTCCAGCTCCTCTCTCCGACATGAAAGTACATTCTTGGGCTGTTTACGCACCGCTGTTTGTTCACAGTTTATGCCTCTGGATGTTTACCCTTGAGTTCCTCGAGTCCATGCACAGGTTGTTACACCTGTTAGCTTGTGGGTTTTCAAAAGGCATTTGTAGTTGTTGTCACGTCCTGAAGTTTGGCACACAGTACTACTAAACATGATTCATATTCTCACACCGAATAAAACGGTCTTGTGAGACTCATCCCTTCATGCTTGCTGTAGCCCTTCCTCCTCTTCGCTCCTAGTTGCCAGTGTTTGCCAGGACAAACAGACAAGCCGGCGGCTCAGCGGGGGGGGGGGGGGGGGCTTAGATTACTGTGAAGAACCTGCCAGCCCCCCCCCCCCCCTCCTCCCTACCACAGTTAGGGGATTCCTGTTTCAGCGCCGGACTGGCCCTTAAACTTGAAGTGGTTCCGCTTACCAATTTTCTCTGGCGCGGCAAAGAGAGAAACCACATGTGAGAACGCCCTCGGATCGTGTTTCACTTCAACATAGACCTCAGAGCCTTCCTCTAGTGCTAGTGAGGAGTGTAGTGCTCAGCGGGAAGTATCTGAACAAGTGGGAGACTCCAGATTTAGCGAGGAAACACACAGGGAATAATCGATGAGTTGAGCTGCCCTTTGACTGAACCTGGACCAGGCCCTCATGTAACCCTATTAATCCCTCTTTAGCCGCGGGCCCTTGCTTTTAAGAGGATTAAAACAGGTGATGGAAATGCCTCTGTGATTGCGCCCAGCTTGCTTAGCAGTCATTATTCATCTGCTACATTCCTGCAGTACAGCATTAGCAGTGTCTGGCCACTTCTATCTTGGTCCCTTTAAAGCAAACAGATGGTTCTCCAACCACCTGTAGCTGTATCAGGGGCCGGACCCAGAATCCTTTATCATAAGACCCCAGACATGCAAATCCCTAGTTTGTGCTGTGCTTTGCATGTCAAGGTAATTTGAGCTTTGAGACCCCTGAGTCAGACTTTCATATGAAAATGAGTCAGATAAAAATAAAGTAATTAGTCCTTTTTACATCTTGGAGGAAAACTGGAGATGCCATTGACTAAAGAAGTACACTAACACTCATACACTTGGATGAGTAATCCATTGGTTGACTTAATCGACAGTAGAGTAAAACCACGTTCTTAGGAAAACCCTGCTTCACTCTGCGTGTTGTGCGAGATGAGCAGCAGTAGCAGAGTTGAGGGACGATGTGTCACCTTGTGAGGATGATTCAGGCTTTTCAAATGATTTGCACAACCAGTCCAGCACATCAAAATATACCGTTGCACAACCTTCAAAGCGTTTCAGTCGTCCGACAGTCACACAGACTTGCACATACACACAGATGTGCCGGCACCACAGAACTGGCTCATACTACATGTCTTGTGAGTGTATTTCTGGACCCGGTGAAGTGTGTTTCCCTCGGATAAAGATAGCAGTTTGTGCGGACTAAACCTGAAGGGACTCTTCTTCCTGAATGCAGATAAGCAGGGATGTCTAGTGAGCGTTTCTCACCACCTGCAGGGCGACTGGAGTCATAAATCAGCAGTAAACCTGTCTGAAGGAGAGTTTCAGGGCAGGTTTCGATTGGGAGCCGCTTTAGACCATGTCAGGACAAAGTGGTGGTATGAAAGCGGAGATCGGAAAGTATTTAAAGCACTGGATGATAGATGCAGAAAAATAGGGATGTGTTCACTCTAATACTGTAGAATGATACCCTTAAACATGCTGTCACTTAAAAGGAGAGCCCTCTGGTTAATATCAGCTGTCCTCCTCTTCATAGGATTTATGGAATTGTAATGCCAAGTGTAGGCGCGCTGGATCAGAGTCCATATGTGCAGGGAAGTGTGTGTGTGTGTGTGTGTGTGTAGGTATTATAGGAGTGTTTACGGCCTGCCTCAAGCTATACGCATGACTCACTCCTCTCCCTTTGTGCAGTTAATCACATGTGCGCTTTTAATGTGACTCTTTTGAGCCACATGTATCTCATTCCAACAGCTCTCATCTTTTACTTTGTCTCATAATTCATCTCTGCACACTTTGTCTGACCCTAGCAAATCAAGTGCGCTCTACTACAGCCTCTGATCATCCACCATTTCCTCTTAACGCAGTCTGGAAGCCCCCCACCTGCTCCAGGGACCCTACATGTTATTAGTCCGTGGCTTTTTACTGCTATTAGAAACAATTTGACGCTTAAGTGGGTCCTGCATCTGCACGATTACCCTCTGGGGGAAAGAATGCAGCTTGATTTGACTGGAAATGACTTAATGTAGTCCAATCAGCAATTCCCCTGTAACAGCCACTAATAATAATGCAGTGATTAGTGGATAAAAGCATCAATCAATTTAGATTGACAGTTGACGGCTCACCCTCCAATTGTAAATACCCATGCAAATTGATTATCTGAGTTTCTTTTGTCGTTTCTTTCTTGGAATAATACCTCTAATCCATTTATTCTTACAATGGCCCCAATATGCTGTTGCAGATATAAAATAGAGAAAGAAGAAGTAACTGTTGGCGACACTGTAACCAGCCAGCAGTAAATGATTAAAACAGTACATTAATGATTTGAAATAGGACAAGATAACATGCCCAGGACTACACATATGAATGTAGTCATTAGCTTACATCGAGGTGGAAACTGAATTGTCCTTGGTCCATTTCTGCTGTGACGGGCTCCGGAGCGCAGCAATGCATTATACTGATGCAATCAACAGTTTATGAAAAGTAACCACATGTAGGTAGAACGAGGACACCTTTATCTCTGAGTCCCTGCGACACCTCCATCTTACTCCTGTAAGAAAAAAAGGCTTTTATCTCCCCCACTCTCTCGCTGTGCTCCTCTTCTCTGAGCTTGTCAGTGTCAGGCTTAAACAGTTCGCTGTGTGTCAGAGACTTTAAACTGCCTCTGAACAACAGTTGTCAGCCGCGTGGGAATAAGAGCAAATTGCTCCTTCACGGTAGCAGTGTTTCTTTTATGCTGAATGCTCAGCTGTACCCTCCTGAGAGCTGCATATAACAGTGTTGTTACTGCAAGTGTGTTGCCAGAACATCGCACTTTAAACCTTGAGACTTGATTGATGTCAGACACTGTCACGGTCTTGCCTGCCCCTCCTGTGGGCAGGTTTCCTTGACATTTCACATTTTAAATTCAGATTTCCTCTCCGTCTCGCCCTCCAGGTTGATGTTTCCACACCGGGCGCCCCCAGGGTCGCTTTCCAGCCTGACTGCGGACCGCTCTCCCCCCCTGTCAGCCTCCTGATCAGCCCGCTGACCGCCTGCAGCTCGACCGCACCGCGCACAAGGTTCCTCTGCCTGGACAGCACTGCGTCGCCATGGACACAGAGTCCACCTACTCCGGCTATTCCTACTACTCCGGACGCTCCCGGGGGTCCCACAGGCATGGGTAAGACTAAATGCTACTTAATTAACTACTCCTGTCCTGCCTTTACCTAAAAGGGTCCCTGCCACAGTGTCACTAAACGCTTACCACCTGCAATAGCCCCTCCTCATTTGCAAACATGTAATGCCACAATGTTGGACCAAAACCATTTGAATAACCATTAAGAATACTATAATATGGCCATACGTCTCATGTTGTCTATTTATTTGTTTTGTTGTCTATCTGTCAATGCTTCACCATTGAATTGTGCAGTGTTGTTTCTGCACAGATTTAAACATGTAAACTGTCATCTACTAGCATCATCAAATCATGTTATACATGCCACCCCACATTAAAGAATCAGACCCTGTTGTTGGCGTTTAAAGCCTTCCTCCTATGCCATGAGAAACAGAGATGCTAAATTCCTCATCTTAATTTACTCTTCTAGTTCTTCTTTAAGCAGGAAGTAAAGCCTCCTGTTTGGATAAACTGTATCAGAAAACATCACAGATTAAAGAAACACCCCCCCCCCCTCCTCTCCGGTCAGCATGCTTGGAGCCCACAGCTTGTGTAGGGGCATTAGTCTGTCAGCAGTGAAATGGCTGTAGCTGACAGGCCTCAGGAAGGCAGCGGGGACAGGTGCTGAAGACGGCCGATTGACTGATGAGAGGGGGCTCCTGTTCCACAGCGGCCCCTCCCTCCTCATTGAAGCCCCCCTCTTGCTCCTTCACCATATATCTCTTGGTTTTTCCACTCTTGCTGCCACCAAGTTAAAGGACTTTTGGTCTCAAGCCATTGTCCATTTGTTTGTCCTACACGCTTTAACCCTCATCTTTCCCTTATCATCGTGACATGAATTCAGCAGCTGCCCTCTTTCTCGTTCGCTCTTGACCCCCTTGTGTGTGCGTCCCCCCCACCCCCCCCTTCTTAAATGGATTCCTGGCTACTCTCTGAGGATGGGTCGGCGCAGGCGTATCACTTGTTCCCCACTCGAAGCACATTCCCCCGGGCAGGAATGTGCCCATGTAGCCGAAAGTTACGATGAGAAAAAGTCATGTCGCCTCGTGGCAGTGGTTGTGGTGCGGGCTCCTATCACTTCTTTTCCTGAAGCCTTTCAAGTGATTGACAGTGAATTGGGTAGGAACATATGGGGGTCTCCGCTAAACGCCGTCCCCCCCCCTCCCTTGCTCCTTCACTCCTACCAAGACTGTGCCAAAACCACCGGCTGGCCTCTAATTTGATGTTGGAAAAAAAGAAAGAAATTGTTGCTTTTGAAACCATCTTGCCATCGCCCCTGTGAAGGTCATCTTTCGACGCTGTATGGGTGCTCCGCGTGAGACAGATCTGCATCGCTGTCGTCTAATTACAGTGAAGCCCGGAACAGATGCAGGCACATGGGAGCGCATTTTCATACACATATCACACAGTAACATTGTGTTTTATTTCAAAGTCATGAAACATCCCTCATTTGTCAGAATAGAATTGGACAGGCTGAGGTGTTCATTAACAGACAGGGTTTTTGGAGTTGTTTCCAGCTGGCTTTTGGCCCCCCCTCCTGTGTCAAACAACCCTAGACTAGTGTCCAGGATACTTCCACTAAAGAATCCTCCTGGCTCTTCAGTAATGGCAGAGCCGCAGCTCTATTTCCTGCCAAAAGCTGCAACGACACGGATTTCTTTATTTGCATGTGGGAATTCCTTCTGTTCCCTAAAGACCATGTTCAGTTCCAATTGAGCGAAAGACTCAAACACAAGAGAGCAGTCTTTTTAATAATTAAGGATATTACAGTGATTCCCATCCACTGTTTTATTTATACAGAATCCAGAGCATCACTTACTGTATAAGTGTTGTGATGGCCATTTTTGGATGTATCATAGAATGGATTAATAAAATAATTGGTAGTTACAGCTCTTGTTTTTGTGTTAATCCAAAGAATTGGGTTTTAATCTCAGAATTGGGTTCCTATAAGGAGCATAGTAGTTTGGTATTGGGTAAATTTGATTCAATCCTGAAACTTTCCTAAAGCTTGGCTCCTCCACTCTGCCAATTCTGAGTATTTAAATGGTTATGAAATTGCAAATCTCTTATGAGCAGCTGCTCATGTGGAACATTGGTTCTTTTGATTGGTATAACTCCAATTATTGGGCAGCATGCAGAATTCTGGGACGGAGTGAGTCATTTAAACTAATTCATTTACAGTTCTAGTTCCATTTGAGGGTCACGGATGACCCGCCTGCATTTTATATACATTTCGGAGTCGACCATAATATGTCATTATTGGTTTATTGCCAAAAAATATGTTTTACAAGGAATTTTGTTTGATTTCAGATAACTTTTTTTCAAACAGCTATATTAACTTTGCTGTTACTTTCAAAGTGAACAGCTGAGTGATTATTGAACACTATGTATTTTAGGAGAATATGCTCGTTATCACGAACACGTCTCTTTATGAAGGTCAGCTCTTCCCTCCACCTTGCACTGACTCTCTTGGGAACACTTCTGGTATCCGAAACCCTTTTGTTTCTAACACAACCCTCATGAGTCACAGGAATGTGTCACCTTACTGCAGTGTTATCTGTAGGAGGCTAACCCTAAAGAAAAAGGCGGGCCACATGACTGCTTATCACACGAGTGCCTCTCCACCTCAACATGGATCAACTCCAGACTGCACAGGCTGATTATATTTATACAATGCAGCTTATCAGTCACTTTGAGGTAAACATTATAACACCAAGAATATTAAACTTCATTTGTAGGACCTATTACGCTAAATATATTGCAATTTAAAGTAAATACAAATGGATAATGAAGGTCGATGACAGGAACTTTTTTAGCAACCCCATCACACAGAGCTCTTCATTTCTTGAGAGCTAACAGTTTGAAATGGCCCCTGAGTGTGTGCTTGGTCACTTTTTATTTGGCTTCATGACTCAACCCATTTGGCTGAGTCGGAGCTACACGGGTACCACAAAGCTGGGTATCACACAGGTGTGTGTGTGCCCTGCCAGCCACACACGGAGAACAAATTGATCCTCGGACAGTTGGCGTGCCGTGCTAGTTGGCTCTCCATTAGCCGCCCCGCTATCAGTGAGAGGTGGAGAACGAGACCGCACTCATCCTCAGGTGTTACAGCCAAACTGCTTCTAGAGACTAATTGGCAGGACTGTGCCCCCGCTTGCCAGGCATCTCTACCCCCCACCCCCCCCCTCCCTCTCATCCTCACTGTTCCAAAAAGCCATCTTCGTTTCAGGGAACCTCGCTGGAAGTCAAATTCCATTAATCAAATCATAGCACAGCACGCGGTCGGAATACCAACGAGCCGGGCTGCATGTTAATGAGGCAGGAAGAGGATGTGGGAAGGCTGGTGGTGTGTGTGTGTGTATGTGTGGGGGGGGGGAGCCGGGAGCGAGATTTCCACAGTGCGATCACCCCACAAGCATGCTGGAGGGGGAATGAGAAAACGTGCTGGGGGTGTGGGGGGGGGGGGGGGCTGGCAGACAGAGGCCGATCTGTTCCAACCCCTCCCTGCTCACCACAGGTCTGCTGCCCTGAGTTTCCTGTCTGTGTGCATATACAATTTCAAAATGCAGTTGTAAACAGTCTTTTTCACATTTGTAGTCTCGCCAGCTCTCCAAGAACCAGGTGTCCCGTCACTGTCTGTTACTGACTTTGAATCACGCTCTGCTGGGACTAGCGTGTAAAGACACACATTCACACGTTGTTTTCAAGTGGTTCCCAGCCTAAACATGGAGCGTGTGTGACTACTCATTACAGGTTGTCTTGTAAAGTGGATGTGGGATATGTCTAATTACAAACCCTACTGCAACTAAAATAAGCATGTATATTTGTTTTGCATTTCTTATTGCCTGAAGAAGAGTATTCGTTTCTGTTTTGTGTCACAAGCGTGTTGGATATTGGATATTTTAAAAGAATACAAATCTGTCACTTATTCAGTATATTTCAAACTCTCTAAGCACAATGGAAAGGTTTTAATACGCTTATTTTGTTTTGGTCAATTTTAAATGAAGTTTTCTGGCTTTTATCTTTTATTTCCCCCGGAGATGCTTATTATTCTGCTGACTCGCTGCGGCTCCTTTCCAATGAATAACCACCATCAGTGACAGCCTTTGACTGATGATCCCTCCCGCTGCAGAAACCATTTACACTGATGATGGTAACCATAATAACATTTAAAGTAATAATGATGGCTGTAATGTATTTAAAGGCTTACACGGCCCTAATCTCCTGGATTTATTAGACGAGAATATGTCAGTCACTCTGTCAGTGAGAGGAGTTGCTGCGGGCTATTGTAAAATGAGCTTTCTTTCACTGTGTGCACGTTTGAAGCATTGTGGTGGTAGGAAACGGTGTCCACACTCAAAAGGAAGTACAGGAATAGAGGCGGAAAGCAGACAGGTTAACACCCTTTAATCAAAAACACTTCTATCCATCCAATGTGAGAGTGTACGAGCTGTCAATCATACTGATCCCTGCGCGACCCCTGCAGGCAGGATATCCTGAGATATGGTTATGAATTGTTATTGTGTGGGAAAGTAGCGTTCAAGGTTGTCATTTATACTTCACTAAAAGGCTATTGTTAACGGGCACCAGATCTTATTCAGCTTTGTCAGACTCAATATCAACACTTGCTGATCTAATCAGTGTTGTTAAATTAACAATGTAGCCGATTAGTATGTGTAATGGGAAAGGTGTTGCTTGTAGCGATAGACAAACAGAAAATGATTGCCTGCTCATTGTTTTGGTTTTAGGCTCTTAGCTTTGATGGATTGGTTGAGTCCCACAGCTCTCATCAGCGTCCATTTTGACCACATAACAACACAACATAGCACATAAATCCTGGCAATTGGCTACAAAAAACATTGTCATATCGGATTTCGCCAAATTCTACTTTTGTGTATTGCTACTTGCGGTTGTAACATGGCCGGAAACACCAATCTAATTCTAACGCTGTGCTGCGGTCGACGTGTAAATAAACAAAAAGTAGAACATTTCACAACAGCCTGTGTTCATCTCTTGAAAGACAGAGCATTATGGAAAGGAGATTTGTTACACTTTTGTTCTTATGTCACTTGCAATTAAATAACTTAATACGAATGAAATATTACGCATAGAGACTGCAGGAAACTCAATTAGCAAAGACAATCAAGAAATGCCCTTTGTCTTCTTCAGGCGTGCAGCTGTAAACAAGGACTCCATGATATCTCTTTCATTCACCTGCTGTCCAATATGTTAGTCCATTATTCTCTTTACAGGATGTATTATCTATATGAAATCTGACAGCCATGCCTCTGGAGTCTCTATTCGGTCGGATGTTTCCTGTAAAATACTGTATGTATCACAGTATGTCCGTGATGTCAGCAGCTGGAGGGGGGGGGAGCCAGATGAGGGATTAACTGAGGCTGTGGTAATGCACCGTGCCACGTGGTGGTGTTGATGCTGGGGCGGAGGATATGAAGACCTGCCATTCACACACACTCTTTGCAGGATTAGGGCTGTAAGTGTAGTGGGTCAGTGTGGCTAATGGAGCTCATATGTTAGGGACACAGGGCCTTGTAGTGAGAGTGATGGGGGGGGTGTGAGTGTAGTGAGGAAGGATGTAGAGGGAGGGGTTTAGAGAGGGCCAGAGTTCATATGGGCTTCAGGGAATTAGATGAAACAAAGAGCAGTTTAATTTCTCCTCTTTCACACAGCGATCTGCTTATCTGACTCAAACAGCCGCTTTCACATTGTGTGTGTGTGTGTGTGTGTGTGTGTGTGTGTGTGTGTGTGTGTGTGTGTGTGTGTGTGTGTGTGTGTGTGTGTGTGTGTGTGTGAGACATTACACAACAGTTATTACTCAAACTTGGTTGTTTAGTTGAACCTCATAAGATTAATTTACGTCAATTTTAATAATTAATGTATCATTTTAAGTATTTTTAAAATCTCAATCCCAAACGTTTATACTGGATTTCTTTGATTTCAAAGTTAGTAGTTCTGCATGGCAACAGCCCTAACCCCTTTATGAATTATTCTTGTTTTCCAGGGAGCGAAGCCGGGACAGAGATCGCCACAAGTCCCGCAACAAAGACAGCCGCTCAGAAAAGTCTGTAACGATAAACTCGCCGCCCGCTGAGCCACTGCTGGGCGACTCGTCTGTCCGGGGGGGGGAGCAGGTCCAGGTAGGGCTCAGCACCACTGCACCGTCACACACCTTTACACTCACCAGTTAGGAACCAAGTTGCTTTAGATAGGATACCTCTGCTAGTGATTTACAAGGGATTTAGAGGAAAGGCGATTTGTTGGTCAAACAAGTTGGAAGCATAATTCTGTTTATCAGTCTGGGCTGGGACGGCCGCTATTTGAGGGCAAAAGCCAGAATGACCGGTCCACTTTTGGAAAACTGTGGAAATCTATGAAAAAGGATACGGATGCACAGTTGCTTCTCTACTCATCACACTTTAATTGCGTCCTCTTTTGTTAGTGGCAAACTGTTTATTTCCCTGCTGGGTGGGGGTCCGTTATGGTGGCCCCTGCCAAAATGGACCGGACCAAGAAATAACAGCAGCTAAGCTGTTTCTGACTGTCAGTCAAATTAAAGTCTACCCTCAGAAAGCATGCTGACTCTGATGCTCTACAAATGGATTATGTGATGGATTATTTGATAACGGAGAAATATATGGTAGGAAATGTCCTATTAAATCATTTTTACTCAACTCTAGTATTATGTTCACATTTTGCACCCAGTGGTACTGTTTGTCTAAATGTGTAGGGGCATTTTAGCAAAAGTCAAAACTTTTTTTAGCACTCTTCATGTACTTTACAGAATAATCTAAGGCCATGAGCATCGTCAGGATGGGTCGTTTGGCCATTTGTGCATACGCGCACAAAATTGTTTATTTTGCCAAAATTGAGTCTGTTGAATCATTTGAATTTTTATATAACTGCTCTGGGATTTTGTCACTTAGATAAAAAGGCAAAACAAACGGAAGGCATGTTGATCAGATAGCACTGTGTTAGCTGAGCAGGTTGGCATGTCGAGACGTGAACTTCCTGGTAGCACTCGAGGGATACAAGAGTTCTTGAAGGTGAAATAAAATGAGTAATTGCCAATTTGTAATGGTATTGTTCGGGTAAACCTTATCTATCTGTTTTTTGACGAGTTGTGCAAAGTACTAGTAGTTTCTTCCCAAATATCAGCTGAATAGCAAGACAATTCAAAATAAAGTTTTTTTAGGGCGATCAAAATAATACACAGTATTTCTTACATCAGTATATCAATATAAATTAGGATAATATTACATTCAGCATATCTGGTGATGTTACGGTCCATTCAGCTTTATTTGTAGACCAAGGTTATAAATCAATACATTGTTTCCTGCTTGTGTGAAATGTTATAAATGGAAACAGCATTTGAGTAATGTTGTGGTGAGCTGCAGGGTTATTTCCGAGTCAGGGGTTTGGTCTAATTGCTGGGGTCTGTGACTGTAAACACTTGTAGGTGCTTATTGCATGGTGATGCTACAGGTGCTCAACGTCGTTTGTGCTAGTTCCCATGTTTATTGCCTCAGTTTACAGCCCTGTGCAGATGCTGTCAGACAAATGAGAGGAGGAGAGCTTCATGGCATTTTGATGAGCAGTCATGTAAAACAGTTTAAAATGTTTGCCTTGCTTTGTGCATTGAAAGCAGGACTTTTAACACTTGCTGCTGGCAGGAGTTAAATGCATAATAATAAAAGAGATTTAGCACACAGACAGCCTTGGCTAACCCGAGGATGATCCAAACAACTTCAAGTCAAGTGTTGGGCTTAACCAGCTAAAGGGAAAACATGCACCCAGACGTTCACCATCCTTCACTGACCTACTTGGCGCTCACTTTCCCTTGTGGCAACCCTCGTTAGCATTGCCCGTGTATGTGTGACTGTTTTTTGTGTTTAATTTGAACACATGACAGGATTTGCCACAGAGCACAGCCCTCTTCAGTATTTAGCTGTTCATGTCTTATTCATGCCGTGGCCTGCAGTGGTGCCTCTGACAGGGTGGGGGTGTTGGCTTTAGTTTGAGTAATCAGGCCCACCAATTCTACTGAGAGAGGCTCAGCACAAATCCCCGTGTGTCTGCGTGTGTGCTAAGGCCTCGCGTATACGCTCCCGTCTGTGAATATTCTGTGTGTGAGTCCCAGAGTCTAACTGTGCAGCGCTCATTACTCCACTGCTGGGACTTAATCAGAGCGCTGGCTGACAGAGCAGCACATCGCTCCAGGCAGGGATGTCCTCACAATCCGGCAAAAAAAGTTTCTCATGACTGCGATGTGTCTGTGATGCCTCACCACAGGAAATGATAAAAGACGAGCGGCTCGTGTTACATGGAAAATGTGTCGAAAAACACGACCAGAGATTCGAGATTAACACCAAACCGAAGAAATGTTTAGTGTCGAGGGATGGTGTTTGCATGTGTACTTTTTTATCAAATCACATTCATAGAAATTTCTCCGGATCTTGGGAAATAATATGTATTCTCTTGCCTCATGTCTGTACTCTGCTTATGAAGCTGGAGCCAACAATTTAGCTAAGCCTGAAAGACTGGAATCAGGGGGAAACAAATAGCAGAGTCCAGCTGCAGGCACCTCTTAAACTATTTATCTTTGTGTAATAATCTGTCAAATAAAAAAGGTCTTCATTTTACAGGGGGTTATTTGCAACACTTAGATCCGGCCAATTATCAAGGAACCAGCAGAGATTCGAAGAAGCTACATGACTTTTACACTTGATTCTTTTAAATAGAGCTAGCTGTTCCCTTCCGTTTCCTGTCTTCATGCTAAGCTAGGCTCCATCTCCAACCCTCAGCAAGAAAGCAGATGAGGGTATCTCTTAGTGTTGAAGACTTTTTAACTTGGCTATAAACTGCAAAGCTTTTTGGAGCCAACTTTGTACTTGAAATGGGATTTCAACACTGCTTGTAAATTCAGCTTATCATACTGTTTTTCGATTGCTTGATATGTTTGAACAGAACCCTTCTAGCAGGTTGCTACAATTTCAGGAGGGAGGCCAAAGCTCCAGGCTGTCTGTGTGAATGTGAGAAATACTCTTTGCTCCTTCGTCAGTAACACCTTCAGGTTGGAACCAGTGCTGTCGGTTAATGTCTCTGGCATGTCCATGTCTACTGTATTTTGCTAGCTGGGTGATGGTAAAGACCAATGGAGACGAATATAGCCTGTACTGAGGTATGGAACTTCTATAAGTGAACAGACAATGGCAATAATTGGCTGAATTTACCCTGCTGTTATTGTTGTATGGAACTGAATAGTGAGAGGTGTATTGGAGTAGCTCAGGTCAATGTAGCATGGCATGTCGAACAGGAAGAATGTGATATGTTTAAACCATGAAGCATTCTTTGAGAATTAGCGCCTTCATATACCAACAAGTGGAGAGAGAGAGAAAGTAGAGCCAGGTTTATTTTTAGATGTTCATAGCACTTTGAAGATGGAAGAGGCCTGCTGCCTGAAAAGTAAATACTGAAATCTCAAAATGAAGTAACATGGACCTGGTTCGTCTGGTGCCAAACCGTTGTAGCTTATTTCCAAATGTACGACTTTTAAAGAGGACATATTGTGCTCATGTTCAGGTTCATATGTATTTTGTGTCTCTACTCAACATGTCTCCATGCTTTAATGTTCAAAAAGCTCTTTATTTTTCTCATACTACCTGTCAAAACCTCTTCCATGGCTCCCCTCACTCACACCTTTTTAAACCTCCCATTGTTTCACCTTGCTCGTCCTCCCTTCAGCTCAATTCATTAAACCCAATTAAAGCTGCTTTGTACTCTCAGCTGCTAGCGCTCTCAAGCCGGACCCTCTGTATGGTAGCAGTAGCACTCATGGCATTCCCCGGCAGACCCCAGCACTGGTAGTTTGGTCCATATCTCCACAGCCATGTCTTGGAAGAGCCTGAGCTCTCGTGTTTGGCACCTCTTCCCTGGGGTGAGTTCTTCCCGGGTCCTTTGAGAGCTCCATGGTTTTCCCCTCACTTTTTGTGTGGTGTGTGTGTGTGTGTGTGTGTGTGTGTGTGTGTGTGTGTGTGTGTGTGTGTGTGTGTGTGTGTGTGTGTGTGTGTGTGTGTGGTGTGTGTGTGTGTGTGTGTGTGTGTGTGTGTGTGTGTGTCTGTGTGTGTGTGTGTGTGCTTGTTGTGAGATGCATGCCACGGACAGGGTGCAAGCTCTGTGGGTGGGCAGAGAAAGATATTTGTAACCCTTCCCAAGCTTTTATTCCTTTATTAGTGACTCGTGCACATTAGCAAGACATGCAACCAACTGCCGTACACGGTGGACGTTCATGACTTTAACCCTTAGGCCTTTTGGAGGAGATTGACAGCACTCAGTGATTCACTTGTGATTAACTGTTGCTTTTAGACTGTAGGTTAGGTCGGCACAATCAAATAATATTTCAACTGGTTTCTGGATATACTAAAGTATAGTATTTGAAGGCATTTGACTATTTAAAGCTGTGACAATCCTCGTCACTGTTGCAAAATGACACTGTGTGTCTTCACTAAATATGCGCTTCCTGCGTCAGACAGGAACATGCTAGCACTAGCCACTCACAATATATCTCCCATAAGGAAAAGCTCTCAGTGCTAACTGACCTGAGCTAACCTCTCTGTAGCATGTTAGCTTTGTTGCTAATAGGAGAATATGTTCACTCAGTTAATTCAAACACAGACATATTTCGAGTGTCTGTTAATCATTCCTCTTTGGAAACTGACAGACAAGGTTACATAATAGATTGCAATTGGCTTGCTATTGGCCTAAAGCATGGACGTGCTACTACTATTAGAAATGGATGAATTTCACCCCAATTTTGACGAGTTTTAAATCCTGATTTGAGGGCTTACATATTGTTTTCTCATTGTAAACAAATCCCATGAAGAGACCTAAGTCAACAATGTCTATCTCTCAATATCTTCAAACATTTATATATTCAAGATATACTTTTCAGAAACAACTAGGCACCATTGTTTTAAGCATGCATTTATTGCATTGGTTAGGGAATATTTTAAGCTGCGGATTAATCCACATGTGGAGCTCTAGGGATTATTAATGAGAGCAGAACTGTGGTGTGTCGGATTGCATTGAAAATAAACAGTGTGTGTGTTCATGGTAATGAAAGAAATGGAACCCAGTGCAA